CTAGCTAGTCCTTCACATATAATAGTGACGACCGAATCACAACCGGTCCCTCATGAATCGTTTCTTACGACCACATCACGTCCTATATGAAAAAGTAGTATTGATATGGCAAAGAGAAAAAAACGTGAGTTATATGACAAAAGAGAAATATGAGTTGTCTTAGTTTGGTAATTAATGCATTTTTTGTAAGAGTTTTAAGTATTAACTTGTAATGTTTGTAGAAAGTTTGCCCACGAGAGTTCTACTTAATTGCCCTACATTGTGAATCAAAACTCGTGAATTGTGGGAATTTGGGCTTGGGTGTGCAAATTGGGCCCATACAATTGTAAGAAGTATCCATATGAGAGTATATTTTCAATAAATATATGTTGAGTTGGTTGACTAGATAATTTTTTTCTAAATAATAGTATAAATTTGGCGGATAATGCTCCCCTACTCACGATGGACAGATGTTAATATGCTCATCGGTTATGTGGCATGCACACATTGGTGCTGTTAATATATTCCAAAATATATATCACCAATATGTGCATGTCACATAAGCGGTGGACATATTAACATGTGTCCACCGTGAGTAGATGAGCATTACTCTTAATTCTACATATTTCCTCCCCGTAATCTCCCAATAAAATTTCTCTCTCTCTCTCTCTCATACCTCATTAAACTATTTTTATATAACAGACTGACCGTTATTATGCATTTGCAAAATATGTGTTCATATCCAGTATATGATATGTATATGAACTCAATATGTTATGTATAAATTCACAACATGTGTTTTTGTCATTTCAACTGTATGTTTAATAGTTTAGTTTAAGTTCACAACATAATGTTTGTCTTTTCACCCATATATTTTATGTTCATAGTTTAGTTTAAGTTCACAACATAATGTTTGTCTTTTCACCCATATATTTTATTTTCACCGATATATTTTATGTTCATAGTTTAGTTTAAGTTCACAACATAATGTTTGTCTTTTCACCCATATATTTTATGTTCAGTATATGCTAAGTATATATATTCACTAAACAAAAATATAATGTTACACAACATAGTGACTGGTTTTATGCCTTTGCAAAATGATACTATTTCAAAACATCTTTTAAAAGATTTATAAATATTTACTCTGCTCAAACTGATTTAATAAATATTTAAAAAAAAAGAAATAAATAAACTAAAATTAAACATTGTTAGTTATAACAAATAATAGTAACAATGATACTAGTATAAAACTCATAAAATATAAATTAATTATTTGGGGTGCTACAGGTCCTCATTGAACAGTTTATAGTCTTCTTTCGTTCTCTCGGTTCGAATGCACAATTAAATTTAAGAAGTTTACCACTTCATCTTTGAATCTATTATTTATCTCTTCAGTTTGAAAATCTATTGTGGAGGTAAATATATCAAAATGATAATGATGCTCAACTGTGATTGAATCATTTTGCTGACTTGAATGACGTGTTTATAGCGAGCTTCATTTTGAGGCACCTCAATATTATACTTGACACAAACTTCCTCTACATTTTAAAGGTGTCTACCGAAACAATTTCTTTAAAATCTCTGATTTTGAGCTTTAGATTTCGTCAGTGGATACTCATTCTTGGTAGGTTGATATAAGTGTGATTGAATATAAACTCTGCAGTAAACAAATCAATCAAAACTCAACTTTTTTTTTTGGTACAGGGACCTTCCGGTTTCTGAATCCACAGGGGAACCGACTAATCTGGAATCGAGCCGGGTAGGACCACAAGGGTGGCAAAGCTCTCCTCAAGAGTTTTAACACTGCTGCATTCCCAGGGCTCGAACACAAGACCACTGGTTAAGCTAGAAGAGACCCAAGCCATCTCATTCAAGCGCTCTTGGGTAATCAAAACTCAACTTTAATCTAACTTCACTATCATGCATATCATCAATATAATTAAATAATATCAACTAATCATTCTTACACATCACATGGATTTTAATTCACTATTCATCCACTCATATAATTTTAACTAACCACTCCAATCAATTTTCTCCTACTTTTTTACATCAAATCAACTGTACCCACTAACAACTAACTATAACACATTATTTAAAATTAAATATAGTTAAAAAAAACAAATCAAAAACTAGTTCAATTCATATCCAATCACACCCTGTGGTACCATCTTAATAATCTCGTCTCATTTCATCTCTTTGATTGACATGATATTTCCATATTAGAGTACGTAATTTGGTTCACGTCCAAGAGAATTCATATCAATAGAGTTGACAACATCATCATTAGAAGGACGATTTCAACTTGGCAACATATGCTCTTTAAAGAACGAATTGATATATAGTTTTTTTTTTCTTCTTTCCTTGACCATCCATTATCACTGAAACCTATCAAATAATACTAAAAAAAAGTAAATTAATCAATCTTTTTGCTTAACATATTATTCCACTAAACATCTTGGTTTACCACTATATGTATATTGCATCTCAAATCATTTAAGATTTGTGATGGGTGTGGCAAAGTTGATGATATTAGGTGCTAAGTAATAATTTTATTTATTTATATTTTCCTTCAAATACTCATTATGAGTTTCCGTATGTGATTGTTGAAAGTGAAGGCCCAATTGTCTCTTCTCTCTCACTCTCTCTTTTTTCTCTTTCTTTTGTTATATGTTTGGCTTATGTATATTGCCTTGAATAACAAGAAAGTCTAAAGGCCAATGTTATATTTCACGTCATAATTGTTATACAATATTGTCTTATATTTCACGCAAAAGTCTGCCGCCTAAATACCCTTGGATGAGATGGCTTGGGTCTCTTCCAACTTAACCAGAGGTCTCGTGTTGCAACAGTATTAAAACTCTTGAGGGAGAGCTTTGTCGCCCTTGTGGTCCTACCGACTCGATTCCGATTAGTCGGTTCTCATGTAGATCCAGAAACCGGAAGGTCCCTGTACAAAAAAAAAAAAGTCTGCCGCCTAAATAACAAATTAACAAGAAAGTTAAAGGCCAATGTAGACTTTTTGGCTCATAAAATTAGTAATTAAGAGTTGTGGGAGTGACCGAGTCACGCGGCTCTTTGGACAAATATAAAGAGTCACCAGAGAATTGACAATTGAAAATACCCAAACAAGCTTAAGGTCGATTTTTTTTTTTTTTTAAATTACAAATTTAATATTTGTCTCATTGACACATATTTAATAAATAATAGTTTCACAATTTTTAAAATTAACAAAATTACATTGAGTATACTTCTGGCTGAAATCGACTCGAGCAGGTCTTTGGTTCATCGGTTCAACCGTCAGGTCATTAGGTTAATTGCTGAATCAAATAATTAATTTTAAAATTTTTAAATTATATATATAGTATTTTTTGACATATAAATATACATAAAAGTAACAAAATAAATGTTTTGTATATAAAATTTGTACATCAAAGTGTTAAAAGAATTGTATCTCACAAGAAATATTTACTATATCAATATATTTACATAGTTTTTATTTATTTATATAAAATATATTTAAAAAAGGTAAAAAACATATAGGGACTGGGTCAACTGGGTTGACCCGGCCGGGGCAATGATCCGGGTCAACCGAGTCAAGGTCGATTTAGTCGGGTTTTGACCGGGTCAATTGTTACCCGGTCCAAATAGCCCACCGGAACCGATTCCAGCTCCGGGTAGACCCGGGTCGAAAAACAATAATTGCCCCCACACAAGTACTATCTTGGGTCCATATCACCAAACATAACAAGTTTCTGTTTGAGAATCTGCAAAGTATTGGGTCTAGTTTTGTTTATGTGGCATATGAATAAACCGAAGTATTTGATGACATGGATGAAATTATGTAAAATTAATAAATTTCACTCCAATGCAAGGAGATAAGTCTCTACTTGGGTCTAACATAAACTTAAAGGTAGACCAAGTCCTTTTTTTCTCCATTCCACTTTTACTTGCATTAGAAAAGACTTTTTTTTAGACTGAGTCTATTTCTAATGTAGAACATAAATGTTTTTAACTGAACCGAAAGTATCGTGGATGCTCTAATAAAAAATATGATAATTAGAATATGATGAGATTAGGGCTGCTCATTCGGTTAAAACCGAACCGAACCGACCGAATTTTCGGTTAACCGAAAATTCGGTTTGCCCATTATCATAACCGAAAACCGAACCGAAATATACGGTTCGGTTCGGTTTTTAACCGAAAATCCACCGGTCGGTTTGGTTCGATTTTCGGTTAATCGCAATAAATAATTAATATTATTACTAAATTTTGAATTTTTAACCGAATAAAAAATTTGATGTTTTATCCCTACAAAAAAATAATAATAATTTTTATTACCTTATTTAATATTCTCAATAAATTCTAAATTATGCTCAAAGGAAGATTTCGTACCCGAACTGTGACTTGGACTATGATGAAGCCAAATTTGAGTGCAAATTAATGCTTGAGCAATTTTATGGGTCAATGAAGCTTGAAAATCATCAATCATTGAAGCAAATTAATGCTTTTATAACTTATATGTATAAATAAAAAACATGTATATATATTTAATAAATCGGTTTTCGGTTCGGTTTGGTTAACCGATCAAAATTATCCAAACCAAACCGAAAATTGAAATTTTAGAAAAATGTAAACTGAAAACCGAACCAAATAATCGGTTTCGGTTTCAGTCCAAATCGAATTTTCGGTTTCGATCGGTTCGGCTCCCCTAGATGAGATAAGTTGGGGAGTGATTATATATATCAAAGCCGGCACATCCAAACAAGGAGTAATAAGTCAGCAATTTTGGCCCCCGACCTTAAAAATTTCAACACCAATTTTGATGATGACTTAAATTTACAATTTTGATGATGACCACGTGGCTTCACAATATTTTCCTTTTTTTTTTCATTTTTCTTTTTCCTCTATTTAATTTAATTTGTTCCCAATTTATTCTTCTCCTCTTATTAATTTCAAAAGTCTCTCTCAACTTTGTAAACAGATAGATATCTGCTATAGCCTAAAAGTTTCTAGCAATGGCTGATAATAATAAGGTATGTATGTATATAAGAAATGATCTTCTTCTATATTTTACTATTTAATTACCTTTAATTTTGAAATTAATTTTCAATGAAATTCACCAAATTATTGGCTATATTTTGCGATTATATAGAACATTTGGTATTCTCTGATCAAATATTATTATTTTTTATTTATTTTGTATTTTAAAATTCCACTTGGATGAATGAAACAGGTGACTGTGATGGTGCTCAAGGTTGATCTGCAGTGTCCCTGCTGTTACAAAAAGGTGAAGAAAATCCTCTGCAAATTTCCTCGTGAGTCTCCTAAATCTTTATTCCTTTTAATATATTATTAGAAGATGTTACGGTTCTGTTACGGAATTATTCCATCGAGGTTTGTAACCGTGAGATCAACTATCTCTGACGGTTACATAATGATCTAACAGTTACAAACCTCGACATAATGATTTCATAATGACACCTTAGCATTTCCCTATATTATTTACTTTATTTTTGAGTTGTACAATTGTGCATTTTTATACATGGGTTTGTTAATTATATGATCATTTTTTTTTTGGGTCATATGAATATTCCTGGCAAAAGGTTGAGTTGATGTTTTTATATTTTTATTTAAATATTTGTGGACACGAGAAATTAGAGACCAAATATATGATGAGAAGGCAAACACGGTCACAATCACCGTATTTTGCTGCGACCCTGAGAAAATTCGAGACAAATTGTGCTGCAAAGGTGCCAAAGTCATCAAAAGCATTGAGATCAAAGAGAAGACTAAACAGCCCGAGAAGCCCAAACAGCCCGAGAAGCCTAAAGAGCCCGAGAAACCCAAAGAGCCGGTAAAGCTGAAGGAGCTTGCTGAGAAGCCCAAAGTCGTCGTGATCGAAAAGCCCAAGGAACTAGAGAAGCCCAAGGTCGTGATACCCGAGAAGCCCAAAGAGCCCGAGAAACCAAAACAAGTGGAGAAGGCCCAAGAAAAGCCCAAGGAAGTGGAGAAGCCCAAAGAAATGGAGAAGCCCAAGGAAGTGGAGAAGCCCAAAGAAGGTCCAAAACCGGAGCCTCCGAAAATAATACCTCAGGCGGCACCGAACTTTCCTCAGCCGGAGCCGGCGGTGGGACCCTGGGGGGTGCCGGTAAACGAGTATCCAGCGACTTATCCTGTGCGTACGTGTTGTGGGGAATGCTACGAAGGTTATGGTGGGGGGCCATGTTACAATGGATATGGGACTCCACAACCGTGCTATGATGATGAGTACTATGGGTATGGGTATGGGTATGGTAGGGGATGCCCCATGAGAAGGTGTGATTACTACTACTTCAGTGATGAGAACCCTCGTGGCTGCTCCATCATGTGATTGTGATCTGATGATGAATAACATCATGCTTATAATGATGATGCATGGAATCTATTTTTTTTTTTTTTTTTTTGGTACAGAGACCTTCCGGTTTCCAGATCCACAAGGGAACCGACTAATCCGAAATCGAGCCGGGTAGGACCACAAGGGCGGCAAAGCTCTCCCTCAAGAGTTTTAAATGGTTCAAAATTTAACAACGGGCCTCTCATTTGTTGCAAGTGATAATATAGTAAATACTTTTTTTTTTTTTTTTTGCAATTTTACCGTTATGCCCTCTTCATGTATCAATAGGAAAGAGTTGTCATAGTGGTACACAAAAGACCTCCGACCGTCTGGGATTTGGCCTGACTCGAGCTCCTCTTCGATTGAACGTCCTTGAGACTTGCGAAACTATCACACCGGATAGATTTTCCGGTGAATAGTCTTTGATGCTTGAGTTAACAGTATGAAGAAAATGAATTGTTGTATGTATGTATGAAATAATAGAGAATGTTTTGTGATAATGACCCTATTCGCGTGTGGCTCTTATACTAGTGATATTTTTTCTTATTCATTAGTCTTTCTCATTAGACCGCCTAATGGTGCTGCTAGCTCGAATCCCATTTGAGGAGAATGCTGCATGCACTGAGCCTAAGTGTTGTCCTTCTCTTGTTGATCGTACGTCCAATCATGTCTTCAGGTCGTGTTTCCAACCGGCCATCAGAGAGCTCTGACTCGACCTACCACTGCTCCCCTTAACCCACATGTCTTTTCGACCCGACGACTCTTTGTTCTGCACTGGCGTTCAACCTACCTAGAAAGGAGAATCAAGCTTCCAAAGAGAAGAATCACACTCATGATGAAAGAATCTACACTAACAACCCTAAAACAAAACAAATACACAATATTAGAATAACCCTTCCCCTAACCGATCACAAAATGCGAAGCCATGAACACAACACCCAGAGACGACAACCCATACAGATAGGAACTCAGGCTGAATATAGCTCCAGAAACTCCAGAGACACCCAGCTCGGCTAACTGAAACCACACCACAGGCCAAATTCACTACCCGAGCGCACCACTATACCAGCGACTGGAGGGTAGCTCTACCTCATCCCACACACCAACTAAGGACTGCGGGCACAAAACCGACCCGACAACTTCACACAAACCAGCAGCTAAGGCCACAACACACAACCTACAGCCCGCATCCGATCCGATTCCCAAACATCAATGAAGAACAGAAAAAGGGAAAATGAGAACTTTACCTCGGCCCCGACCAACTCCATGGAGACGATTGGAACCAGCCACTCGAGCCCAGCTCAGCACCCGCCTGAAGCTTGTCTAGACCTTGTCGACCGACGAGAGCGGCGAAGCACTACACCGGAGAGAACAGACAGCGCTTCAAGAGACGACCGGCACAGCCTGGTGACGGCCGTCACCGTGGTGTCCCGGAAAGCCCGGAAAGGGAGAGGCGCCGGCAAATTTAGAGCTAAGGTTTCAAATTTATTTTTTTTATTTGGGGGAAATCGTTGTGTTGTCCCGATTATAATTTATTTTCTATTTTTATATTGAGTTCTTTATTATCCCCTCATTTATAACAATATATGGAACAATTCCCTCGACTTGTAAGTTTCAACAGACGCCTCAATACATGGACGCACCCAAATAGAGCAGCTGCACGGGAAAGAAGAAGCCAATGCCTCAATCTCACCACCAAATCCTAACATAGCCACGAAAACATCAAGTAGCTGTTCATTATCCTAACATATATGCCACTCTCAGGCTCGCTTTTTTACAGACGACGCTAATTACCTTTGTTCTTACTGATTGAATCTTATACTGGACGATTCTTTCTTTATGGTAAGCTAATTTCTCATCTTCCCACCAGTTGCTCCGTTCCGTTTATTCCTCTTTAATGTTATTCGATTTCATCATATAATTGTATCCCAATTGCCGGCGAACCATAATTTAATAGGTAAATTTTACAATTTAAATTCCAATTTCAATTGGGATACCAGAAGCTTGAGGTTAATGTTGCGCTAGTTTCTGGTTTTCAACTCTGATTAGTATGCCGAATGGTTTCTCCATAGTCTATTTTGTCGCCGTTGAATCACTCGCTGAGAGTTCAGTTTTTACGCGAAAAAAAATTGAATCTTTACAGCATTGCTTAATATTTATGCCTTTCAAAAAAATTCTTGAAATCAATTTATATATTGATTGTTGAGATCTAAATTTCTTGGTAGTTTATGTATTTTCTTCAGGATTCTTTGACGATTTATTGAGCCCTTCAAGGTTGCTTTACAGTTGATTGAGTTAGATACTGCAATCAAGAAATTTTTTTCTCATCAATTATGGCGTCTGGACAGTCTCCCAAGGCTGTGTGGACCAGGAAACAGCAATGCCCGTGTGGCGATTGGAAATGTTTCGCAACATACGATGGGGATTTGGACAAAACCGATTCAGGACCCCAATCAGTCAAAAACGACTTGGGTCCAGTCGAAAGCATGATTGTCCCATACGTAGGGATGATTTTCAAGAGTGATGACGAGGCATTCGAGTATTACGGGAATTTCGCCAGAAAAAACGGGTTCTCGATTAGAAAAGAGAGGTCGAGGTTGAGTCCCCAATTGGGCGTCTACAAAAGGGATTTTGTTTGCTACAGGTCTGGTTTTGCACCCGCCCGCAAAAAACAGATGGGTGACCACCATAGGGACAGAAAATCTGTTCGGTGTGGCTGTGATGCTAAAATGTACCTATCCAAGGAAGTTGTGAATGGGATTTCTCAGTGGTTTGTTGTGCAATTTAGCAACATACACAATCACGAGCTTTTGGAGGACGAACAGGTTCGTCTGCTGCCGGCTTATCGTAAGATTCGAGAGGCGGATCAAGAGAGGATACTTTTGCTCTCGAAAGCCGGTTTTCCGATACACCGGATTGTGAAGGTACTCGAACTGGAAAAGGGAACTGAGGGCGGGCAACTGTCTTTTCTCGAGAGAGACGTGAGGAATTTCATCCAGAACCGGAAGAAGGTCGTTCAGGAGAACGATGCTTTGTTGAGCGAGAAAAGGGAAAACGACTTGCTTGATCTTCTCGAGGCATGTCGGGCGAATAAAGAGGCTGACCCGTACTTTGTTTACGATGTTGCCCTTGATGAAAACGAGAAGGTTGAGAATATTGCTTGGTCTTTTGGAGATTCTGTTCGTGCTTATGATGTGTTTGGTGATGTTGTTTACTTTGACTCCACGTACCGTTTGGTGAGTTACAGAATGCATTTTGGAGCGTGGCTCGGGATAAGCAATCATGGGAAAATTCTCCTGTTTGGGTGTGTGTTGTTGCAAGATGAGAATCCAAGGGCATTTTCTTGGGCATTACAGGTGTTTGTTGAAACTTCTTTTGGCTTTTTTGTTCTTGTTTCGTATGCTTTTGTGTGTGCTGATGTTCAGTGCTGCTCTAGGCTTTTCTTCGGTTTATGAAAGGAAGGCCTCCGCAAACGATAATAACGGATGTTGACCTTGGTCTAAGAGAAGCCATACGAAGTGAGCTGAAAAATACAAAGCACGCCATTCCCTTGCACAATATACTGCCTAGAATATCCCGCTGGTTCTCGGCTCCGCTTGACCTGAGGTTTCAGGAATTTAAATATGAGTTTGAAAGGCTGTGTCATCTAGAAAGTGCCGATGAATTCGAATTTCGGTGGAATCAGATGATTTCCCGCTTTGAAATCAGTTCGGATGAGCACATAGCTTTACTCAATTCCTTCCGCATGTGTTGGGCTTTATCTTATGCAAGGGGTTTCTTTCTTGCAAGAATGGATTCTACATCTTATCGGAGATCAGTCGATGCATTTTTGAAAGAAATAATCAATACACAAACATGTTTGCGTGGATTAATGGAGCAGGTATTTTTGTTACATCATCCATTTTGAGAAATTTTCACCTCTGCACTTTTGTAACATTGTTTTTTCCCTCATAGGTGGCATTATTATCAAATTACAGAACTCTGTCAAATGAAGCACAATACTCACCTCTTAAAACATGCTTACCTATCGAAGAGCATGTGCGTGGTATTTTCACACCTTTTGCGTTTCACATGATACAACATGAGATGCTTTTATCATTGCAATATGCAGCATCAAAAATGACAAACGGGTCGTATCTTGTGAGCCATTTCAAGAAGGTGGAAGGAGAGCGTTTAGTTATATGGATGCCTGATGACGAGCAAATTCACTGCTCTTGCAAGGAATTCGAGTCGAGTGGAATTTTATGCAGGCATGCCCTTAGAGTACTTTTGTTCAAGAACTATTTCCAACTTCCGAGCAAATACCTTTTGGGTCGATGGAGTCAAGAGAGCTTACTTTTTGGCGAGAGTGAACAAAGTAATGCGAATATCAAGGACGAATGGTATCGGGAGTTCAATTCTCTTACAGGGACATTGTTTTCTGAAGCAATGCTATCTAAAGAGAGGTCTGATTTTGTTCACAGGGAACTTAATAAGGAGCTCACGAGGCTTATTGCTCAAGTGAGAGACATGCCACCTGCCAATGCTGTTGGCATGGACATTAGTTTTTCGTCCACTGTAGTCTGAGCAATGTTGTTAGTGAAACTGTAGCTGTTATAAGAACTTAGAATACTTCTGCAAGAAGAAAGGGCATCGCATGAAGAAAGTGTAAGTATTTTGTTGAATTTATAATTTATAAATACAACAGAATCTTTGTACTTGAGTTGGAAAACTTGTCAGAATGATTGAAGACTGGGATACTGTCGTATGAAGGTGCGACGGGCTCTTGGTGAGTTTTCATCTTGTAAATGATGTAAGATGAGTTCAAAAAATCAAGAATTGGAATTTCAAGTGTTGGTATTTAGTTAGCAGTTCATACATGGCTTAATGTTATATTCACTATTCATCCACTCGTATAAGTTTGGCTATTCATCATCACTTCCAATCACCAGTTTTTTTACTTTTACTTCAAATCAACTATAATTATTGTATTTTAAATATTATTTTAGTATAAACTCGAAATTTCACTCAAATTTAACTCACCAACTATTTCATATGTTTAAACAAAAAAAAAAATCAAAACCAAAATATCCAATCAAAAACTTATATCCAGGCATTTGATAAATGAACATGAAGTTTTGAAGATTTCTTCTGATTGAAAACATGGCTGTTACATAAGCCCTGCATTTAAAAGAAAAAAGAAACACAATTTCAAGAGTCTCAATCTCAATCTTTCAACTCCCCACAAATCACAGAATTTGCAGGGAAATTCAATCTATTCCTTCACCGTTGAAGCCTGCCCGCCGGATTTCCCCAGTTGAACTACTTTTTTCCCTTTACCATTTTTCGCCACATTCCCCGTGCTTTTATCCTGAACCCGCCCTTCTTTCTCTTGAATCTTCAGCAGCTGCTCCAACTGTAAATCCTCCACATTTTTCTTGCTGCCCCCAGAAGACGAGGGAACATTGCTAGTCGCAATTGTAAAATTATTACTGTTAGCATAAGGCAGATGCACTGTCGATTGCGGGTTTAAATATGAGTTCAGGAACGTAAAAATGTCGGGCTTTGGCTTGACATCCACCCATTGGTCGTTGACCCAGTCTTTCGAAACTCTTAAATTTTTTCTATCTACGAACAAAAAACTGTTCTCCCCTGCCAGACAGTAATCCCATTTCAAATAATAGCAGTATGTATTGATATAATAGCATTATAAAAATTAAGAACTCGGAAAATATTACGGTATATATTGATGTATTAACGGACCATGTTGCATGTACCGCTATAACGATGCTAATTTCAATTGTGATGCTTAGTATACGTTCATAGCAATGTTACTTATACACACTTTCTTAACGCACTCGTTAAAAGTAGCATTATACGATTAAAGACGACAACATACACACAACTTTCTTACACAGGACCTGGTTCGTATGTGAACTACATCCTAACTGTATGTATGTATGTATGTATGTATGTATGTATGTATATTTCCACACGCATTTGGGGCAATCATTGTTAAAAGGTATTTTTCTCTTGGTTATATTCAGCTAATAATAACAGACGGGAGAGAGAAGAATAGATTGGTTAATGATGCATTACCAGGTAAGTAAACTTGAAGGTTCCTATTTGCAGAAGTGTCGAGTCCGGTTATGACAGCCTCCCACCACCCATCACACCACCATACATCAACCGCGGTCCCCACCTCGGTTTTGAAGCCTGAAGAGTCCCCAACAGGCCACGGTCTCACCGTCAGTCGGCCCCTAGATCTCATTTCCAGTTTGTCAGGGTTGGCTACTCGGCCTCTAGCTACCCATTCCTGCAAAAAACAAACAAACCCAATCAGGAAACATTTAGTATACACAAAACTGAAGACACACTTACCTATATATCAGCAAATTTACAAATACTTCCTCCAGGCTATTTACTTCTTGTTCACTTCGTTCAGCATTTAGTGGAAGAGTCAAAAAAAAAAAAAAAAAAAAGTAAACAAACATATGAATGTTTAAATACCTCAAGCTTCCCTGGGCCATCAACGTCGGTCACGTCAAAGTATTGAACCTTGAAGCGATTTGCTGCAGAATGCAAAATTTTGCACCTGAACCAGCAGCCCCGCATGCCGCTGTCCTGAGAGAGGACCTCTACATTCTCACCGCCCACAGGTAGAAGCATCATATTTTTCCTGCTCGCCAGCTTGCTCCTCAATCTCTCCCTAGCCGTTACACCTCGACCGGCCACAGGCACCCCGATA